AGCTTAAAACTTCCTCGTCATATTAGTAGCCTCATTCATACGATTTCATTGGTAGCACTTATCAAATTTCATCGAAGTATGCATTTCTTTTGATTCAAAAAGAAACATAAAGCTTACATTAGACAACGGTAAACGTGCATCGCGATTCTGTGGGAATTGGATATGATATGATGCAGTAAAGTGATACAGCAGTAAAATGGCTGTAGCGAAGAAGAGGCCAATGAAAAGGTAACTCTTTAGTGCATGAGAATGGCGTTGCATATCATCCTGAAAAAAATAAGAATGATGCTTTTAATAAGTAGGGAGAAATCTCCATTTATGAAACTAAGATGTCAGCATGACCGGATATTTCAAGATCCATAAAATAATGGGAAGAGGGAGAAGTGGTGCTGGCTATAGGAATTACGAATGGATTGTTCTCAGTTGTGACCAACATAGGCGATTATGTACAAGAGAAGAGCGTAAAATAAAAAGATATTTTAATGTCAAAGATATCCAAGGGAGTTTAAAGAAAGTTGCATTGCAGAAAGACGATCAATGCAAGGAACTGGATAAAAAAGTAAAAGTGCGGACCTCATTCTGTTCATTGGGGCTTGATTAGAGGATAGACCAGAGCGGACGTTAATTACACGGAGGTCTGATTGTGTTATGACATGACAGGCGCAAAGCCTCAGCGGATGGAAATGAGGTCCATTCATACTAAATAGGAAACATCAACGTCGGTCGAGCGAAATATAGCGTCATTTGGTACGCATTTATTGCGACAATACACAGGAGTGAAAGCAAGATGGCGAAATTTAATCAGGAAAAAAAGTTCGGTGCAGCTTAGCTACGAAATTGCTTCAGGCTTATTACAGCTGCAAAGAATGCAGAATGCTCGTACGAGGTTAGGAATGTATGAAAGAAAAGAAGAGTATTTAACAAAACATCCGAAGATATGATAGGTACGTATAGTTAGCACTTTATTATATGCACTCAGTAAGAGTGGATTTTTTGTCAGTAGTCTATATATA